AAAATAACTCATTGGAGATCAAAGTTTTGAAGACCCAGTGGAACTTAAAATGGACAACGGCAGGAGAGTGAATCCCAAACTTGGCATGAGTATTGAGCTCATCATTGAGTGGTCGTGCTTCGCTTGTGTTTGCGCCATGTCTGCGGTAGTGTCTGCGGTAAACTTGATCCCCACCGTCACCACCGCCAGTATGGGGTTTATTCAACCCGTAACAATTCAGGATCAGGAAAGACTCAGGACACAGCTTTTTGGTCAGGAAGGCCTCTTCTCTGCTGTGGCCACAGGCAGACCCAGCCCTGGCCTTTGGCCTCTTGTCCGGTTGGCCTCAGGTCTTCAGCCTCTTGAGCCAGTGCACAGTTCAGTCTGCCCTGCTCAGGCAAGTGTTACAAACCTCTTTAGCTCTAGACAAGTTCCCAGAGACACCCCGCTTCACCAGCAAGCCCCTGCCAGGAAATGCTCAGCTCACTTGCTCTTTGCATCAGCAACCCTGGCTCTGTGGAGTGAGAGAGAACGCTCACTCCACCACAAGCCTCCTGCCCAAATGCACTTCGCTTTCTCCTTCTGTGGCCAGGAAGCCAGCTGCCCCATCTCCTGCTGGTCTCCTGAGCCCAGAGTATGCGCTCCCCTCCTGGATCTTCTTGGTCAGAGTGCCTGCCCCATGGTACTCTGAGGTGAGCTCTCTTTCATCTCCCAGTTGGTGCTCCACACACCTCACTTGCCTGGTCCCACCCCCACAAGGGTGCCATGCACCTTATTTTTATTTTGGATAGGCTGTTCGATCCTCTTTGTGGGTCACATGTATCTTATTTGCAATCTTTTGGTGGGAGTTAAAAAACTAGAGCTAGAATGGCCACATAAAGGGGACCTATCGCCAAACTTTAAGATTAAACAGCATTCCAGGGGAAAAGTCAGATGTGGTCCAACTACTTTCACATTTTTGAAATAAAAAAGTAAAGAAGCAAAAAACCCCACAAAACCCACTGCATGTAAACAATCATTGGAATTAAAGAGAAAAACATCACGGAACTGGGGAACTTTGAAAAAAGAGGCAAAGAGGCACACGGACCCCCAAACCTTCAGACAACACAGTGTTTTCCTGTGACTTACGGTGGTGGGGAGGGGTGTTACATATAAGATCATCACTTTTTGATTCTACAACTTTACCAGTCTATCAACCATCCTGTTAATATGCCCTACCAGCGCGTGCCCCCCACCCCCCCTTGCTGGCCACCTTTCCCCATTTCCCTTTGGTCGGATAGTTCTTTTTCTCCTTCACCAAGCTGATTGCTGTCTACCCTCTGTCTTATCACTACCCATCTTGTGAGGTGTTTCATGAATCTTTTGTGATGCCAAATAGGTCATTGTCTATCTGGGCCTTAGAGTCTTTATCTGTTTCCCTACTATAGGCGTTAAGTTTGCTTCCATCTTCTGGCTGTTGTGAACAGTGCCACGGCGAACATGGGTGTACCTGCTCTGTGTTTATTGGGGAGAGGGATCACAGGCTCATATGGTATTTCTGTTTACGTTCCTTTGAAGAAGTCCCACACTACCTCCCACCGTAGTTGTACAGTTTCATAGTCTCACCCACAATGGATGAGGGTTCCAATCTCACCACTTCCTCCCCAGCATTTGTTGATTTGAGCATTGTTATCAATGCAGCTGTGAGGTGGTGATTGTGTAAGATATGGCAAAACACAAAACCATTATAGAGAAAAAAAAAATGGTATAAGGGTTCCGGTGGGGGTGGGGGTCATGGTATGGGAGAGTAGGGGGTAAAGGGGAGCTGATATCAAGGAGTTCAAGCAGAAAGAAAATATTTTGAAACTGATTGTGATAGCAACCGTACAACACTGCTTGATGTGATTGAACTATGGGATGTTATGATATCTGTAAGAGTTTCCCATACAATGATTTTTTTTAAAAAAAAAGAACAAAAGGGAGAGGAATAGTCAGGGCCCAATGAAAATGAAATTCTAAAATATTAAAAAATAAAGTATTGAGAAAACTGCAACACCTAAACAAGAAAAAGATGAATCATCCCATTTTAAAATAGGCAGCAGACATGAACAGACAAAGGCATCACTAGCTATTGGAGAGAGGAAATCAACAACGTTGCTTTCCCTGGTGGTGTGCTATGCGCTTGTCAGAGGAAACCAGCCTCTAACCACTGCCGGGTCCGTAGGCGCAATTGTACAGCGATAGTATATCAAGGTCATAGAGAGTAGGCAAGAAGGAGAGAGCATAAAATCAGGGGTCAGACACATTTTACAGTGGCATGCTCACCTCAGCCCCTCTTGATGGTGCACGTGGAGGTGGGAGAAGAGAGCGTGGGAGAGAGAGCATCTTGACTATCTTGGGATATTTATAACTTGCCATAAGACATGCATAGTCAGGAGTTGCATAGGTCACAAGGTGGGTGGTAACCGCAATAAAGTTCCTGAGCTCACAGGTGACGAAAGCTAATACCTGCAAAGGGGGAAGGCATGGGAGGGGGATGAGTGCCCCACGGGAGGAGATGACCAAAGAATGTCTTCTTATACAGGGAGACAGAGTCACCCATGTGCTCACTTTAAGGCAGTATGGCTGTTAGGGGAGAATCTGTGGAAATGATGCATAAAGCAGGATAATATACTTGGATTTTATCTCTAACTTACCAAAGTGGTGGCTTTCCTACAGTGTCCCACTAATAGGACACTAATTGGACTTTCTGGTCTTACACATTTTAAAAGTTTTACAAATTTTCATAAGAGCGTTCCTGATAAAAGATCCAACAGTAGAAAAGGTCCAACATTAACCCTTATGTTCAACACCAATCCACAAAGTCCTCCTCCATCTCACAAAACAGATACCGTGATGTCGACTGCAGGAGGAAAGCTGAGTCAGTGAATGCGTAAATATCCCAGCACTGACAGGGATCTCTACACGGGTGCTCCAGCACCCAGGGCTGCATCTGGGTAGGTCCATGTGGCTTCTCCTCAGGGATGTCTTGCAGGAAGTGAGCCTTGCCAGCTAAGCAGGGAACTGGCTAAGGCACCCTGGTCTGACCATCAGAAAGCAAGAGACCCAAGAACTAGAAAGGCGAGGCTCACTGAGCCATTTATCTCTCCGCCCTTCAATTATCCCCACATGTGTTTATCAGCCAGGTTGGCACAATAAACTATGTATCTCAGTTGGTAGCAAAAATAATGTTGAAGTTCTGGATGTGATGAGAGGAATTGAAAAGAAGCAATCTCCACAAAGAGTCTGCTAACATTTTGATATCTGTCTATTCTTATTTTCATGTCTCTGATATTAGAGATATAGAATTTTTAAATTTTTGGTATTTTACCCTGTGGCATGGTTTTCAATAAGTCAGAACATTCCATTATGCCTTTTATTATTCAAAAGACAGCATTCCATTTGTATTGTGCTTTTAACAATAAATATTACTTCTTTAAAGTATTATTATCCATGTCTTTATACTCATCTCTTAATATATGCCTTTAGGATAATTTATTAGAGTTGCTTGAAACCGTTGCATTTAAAGGCAATTCAATAGACTTGCTAAATAGCACTCAGAAAGTTTGCAAATCTTGACACTTCTGTCATTGGCATGTGCGTGAGTGTGAATTTCCCCACAATTGGCCAATTCTGGAAGAGATTTCCTTGCCTATGGTGTTGCATATTGCTTGTATGTTGTGTTGGTTTGGAGTCACCTAAATGTGAAGCTATTTGGACACATTTAACTTAAAGTGCTGCATTGGGAAGGAGGTATTTCTGGGAAGTTTGGTGGCTGGTCCAGCAGGTGGGAGGACCAGTAGCCTCACGGTGGGAGGGGCAGACCCCCCTTGTGGTGCCATGTCAGGACGCCTCTGCGGTTTGCTGCCTGCTGCAGAGATGACAGCCACAGAAGTCCCACGGAGCAGCTCTACTCTGTAGCTCGTGGCAGTGTCATGAGCTGACATTGACTTGGCAGTGACGTGCTTGGGTTTTGGTTTATGAAGTGGGAGTTTCAAAATCTGAGCTGCCCTCTTCTGGAGATATTGAGCCCAGGAGATTTTCTGCAGGGTGCGCCATCTTGCTTCCCAAGGCAGGGATTGCTTTTTCGATCAGAGTGGCATTTCCGACTGAGTCATGTGATGTGTTAGACAGGGTTCTCTAGAGAGACAAAACCAGATTGCTAATAATTTTATATATAGTTGTACAGATAGATAGATATATGACACAAGAAATAAACAGTTAAATTATAAAGCAGTACAAACGGCTCAGTGCAACTCACTCCCATGAGACATCTGTGAGACACTGGCAGTCCTTCAAGTCTTGAGGGCCACCGGTAGAGCTCTGTAGAGCAACTCAGGCTATCCGGGCACAGGCAGCAAACAGCAAGGCAGGTCACCAATAGTCAGCCAGATGACAGGGTCCGACAGTCCCCAGCTCAAGAGATGCAAATTCCAATGGTGTGGCGAAGCAGGTCTTGAAGGAACCTCAAATTACAGCGACACAGTCCACGGGTTAGGTGTCCCACAGGTAGTGTAGCTTGCCAATTGAGGCACAGAACAAGCAAGGCAGCCGCACACTGGTCCGATGATCAAAGAGCGAGAGACAAGAAAGGCGAGGCTGACCGAGCCATTTACCTCTCTGCCCTTCAGTTAATCCCACAGGTGTTTATCGGCCAGGTTGGCACAATAAACTAACTACCTCATGTGGTCACAGAGACTTCCAAATGGCCTTCCAGGCAGCTGCAGTCAGCTGAGCACTGCTCACTTCTCTGGCTAGAGTTTGGAGAAAATGAGTAGGTCAGAGAAGCTTGAATTGGTAAAATGTCATTGCTTTTTGAATCCGTGAAGTAGTGTGAAATTTGCTTCAGGTAAATTTCAAATCAATCCAGATTCCTCTCTCGACGTCTCACACCTCTGTGGTGGAAGATCAGGTTCCAGGCCTCCTCAAAGAGAACTGTTTTCCTTCTGCAGTTGCTAATTGGCCGGGACCCATTGTCAGACCGACATTGGGTGGGCAAAGAGCCGTGTGCTGCTGGTGTGCCTTCCTCTGACTTGGACAGACTGGAAAATGACATACAAACTATGTTAAGTGTTGTGGACAAACTCTTGGAGTCCAGTGATGATGATGAGAAGGTACGTTCCAGGATCATGGTGTTCTCTTTTTTTTCCCCAGTTAGTTATTTTTTACACCCATAATGCCTACCCAGGCAAGCTGTCAAACATAACAGAACCAGATCCAAATATGAATTTTGGATGAATGTCAGTGTGAGATTTTGTCAAGTGATTTATCTCTTGCTGAAAAAACACAAAGAAAGTGTGCTCCCTTACGAGTTAAGCCTTTGTATCATCTCTCATCCACTGTTAGCCATGTTCAGCGTTAATGTAATACAAGAGTAATTTTTAAAATGTACAGCTTCTAAGGTTCCAGTTCATGCATGCATGAATTTCTCCCAAACAAAATGCGTTTCAACATGCCTGTGATGAGCGGATGGCAACCGACAGGTTCTTTCAGTACAGCGATTTAATACAGGCGCCTTAGTCTCGTTAGGTGCTTTCAAAAGGAACCCACGAGAGCAGTGATGGAAGGGCTCTGCTGGACAGTGAAGTTCAAGGCAGAAGAGTTATGGTGACTGTGTTTTGTGGAGGGCTACAAAGAGGCACTGGACAGATTTTATGAAAGGACAGGTTCTTAGTAGGAGGGATTTTTAAGACAATGGAAAACTGCATTAGAGGAGAAAGATCAGTAAAGTTATAATGAAGGATCCCTCAAACCCCCCCCCCCATTCATAGCAATGCACCTGCTTGCCCTTTGGGAGTAGCAGGGTGGTCTCTGAGCACTTCATCACGAGACCTTACTTCATCTTGCGTCTAGACCTTCCTTTTGTCCCCCAAATTCAACTTTTCAAGGAACACAATTTGAGACCCTTGAGGATGCCAGATTGTCATTTAGACATGGAGGAAATGGGAGAGCGCATAATTCTTCAGGGAAAGGTTAGAGATGGAAAACAGCTATCAGAAAATCCCACGCATAGCTGAAGGACATGTTGAGATAGAGTAGTAGCTTCCCACTGTGGTATTTTTGTTTAATAAAGATCTCTGATTTTATAGCAATACTTCTGTTTTACTCACTATATATATGAACTATTTTAAGAAAACCATACAATTTTGTTTGCCTGTTATTTTGCTAAACAGCTCTTGACGGACTTTGTCCTTTGTAAGCTAGTCCCACTTGAGACTTGGTAATGAGAGCCCCCGTGCACTTTTCTGTGGAGTACCTTTTTTCCCTTTGAACCTCCAGATGGAAGAGAAGGGAGCCCAGATTGAGGAAGTGCTTCAAAGAGGAGAGCACGTGCTACATCAGCCGATGGACGACAGTACAAAAGAAAAGCTCCGATTGCAGTTAGTCCTTCTGCATGCGAGATACAACAAAGTCAAGGTATCGTCAGGGGAAGGACTCCGTGGGGTATGTTCAGCTCTTGCCATCAGGTGTTTGGTGTTGAATTTGTGGAAGCCAGATCAAACCAGCTGGAGTACTATCGCCCTCCCTTTCTGTATGTATTACTAAAATACAGGATCCCACTCCCTGAAGGAGCAGGACTCACGGAAGTTAGAAACATAAATTCTTACTAGTGTAAGGTGACCAGATTTTAACATTGGTAAAGCGGGACAAAAGCGGGACACCATAGATAAAACTCATATCCTGGCAAAAGAGCCACATGGCAGCCAAAAACTGTATACCCTAGCTTATCGTGCATTCTTTTAAAAAATCGGGACTTTTTAAAAACGCTGTGGGACATGGGAAAAATTGTTAAAAATCAGGACTGTCCCACCAAAAGTGGGACGTCTGGTCACCTTATACTAGTGGCATCTCTTTTGCTTAAGATAACCAAACCAAACACGCTGCCCTTGAGTCAGTTCTGGTTCAGAGGGTTTCAGAGACTGGGGACAGACAGCCTCATTTTTCTCTCATGGGAGTGGCTGGTGGGCTTAAACTATCAACCTTGTGAATAGCAGCCTGCTGCCTATCCCACAGTTGAAATACATAATCTTATATCTCCCGTCTGTTCAGTATTAAAATTCCTTGGTGCCGCCCAGTTGATGTTGACTCACAGAGATGAAGTAGAACTGTCTTTCAAGGATGACTTAGTTGTAATCTTTATTTATTAACTATTTTAAAACAGTTTTATTGTTACATAATTTACATATCCTCCAATCCAACAGTTAACTCTTACTGATTATATTAAAAAATAGATGAAAAAGAATTGTACAATCAGATGTTGTAATCTTTATGGGAGAGGTGGCCGGGTCTGTATCCATTGGAGCCCCTGGGGATCAGATGGGCTTCAAGGGGAGATAGACATAATTTTCCCACACTAACAAACCTATAGAGGAGCCCTGGTACTTTAGTGTTATGTGTTGGGCTGTGATCTTCATCGTCAGCAGTTTGAAATCACCAGCAGCACCACGGGAGAAAGACTGGGCTTTCCACTCTCACAAACGGTACAGCCTTGGAAACCCACAGGGGCTCACTATGAGTCAGCACTGACTGGATGGCATTGAGTTTGCTGTGTGTGTGTGTGTGTGTGTGTGTGTGTGTGTGTGTGTAAAACTCTTATGCCACCAGGGGCACCATTGGCTATCTCTTTGGCAGCCCTCACTATGAAACAGACATAGTAGGCACCTGTCGTTCAGAGTCGACTTCCTGCTGCGGTTCTGCACTCTTACACGTGGAAGTCTTGGCCACGTCACGGACGTTTCTCATTCATGAATAACCAAATTTGTGAAGCGGATATCCTGAGACTTACATTGTACAGGAAGATTCACACCCAGTTCCCTTTTGAACGACAGTTTTCCCAGCTGCATTTTGCGTGTGCTGGTCCCTTTTAGAGCCGGTTTAGTTGAGGATGTGGGGATCTGAGAGAATGATTCCAGCTTCGTGGCGTGCTGCCTGTTCGATGTCTGTATCTGTCAGTCCCATGGCCTTGGGACGATTCCCAAGCTGACCTTGCTGTCATCCCCAGCTCCCCCCTCTGCCTCCCTCCCTTCTGCATCTCGGAAGTCTCAACTCCTCTGGAGTGTTGGCAACTCTCCAGTTCTATTTAGGTCCAGGTTTTTCTCTGGTTTGTTAAAAACAGAACTCAGAAAAATCCTACAAGATATTCTTTAAAACCCACTCTTTCAATCTATCTGGAATGTAACCTGGTCTGTGTCACCTTCCCTAATGTTAGCCCTAACCTGTAGTATGGTTTGAAATTTTGTCCTCGCAACATTTTTCAAAAATCAAACTCTCCAGAAGGCTGGATCAGATTGGAAGGCTCCCCCTTCACCCCCCTCCTTGGGAACTTTTGATGGATCACTCTCTTGGGGGACAGACTATTTTGGGAAGATAGAAAGCGGATGCTCAAATCTTGACCTGCCTTGCTGCCTCTGCAAGAGTATGGAAAACCCCTGATTCTGAAAGTCTGAATAGGAAATGAGAGTCTTAATGAGTAGGATTTGTGTTTGTTTGTTTTTAACTTGAACTTTCTGTTTAGAATGCCATTGACCTCGCTCCCTCCTCTCAAGGCCTTGTCCAGGCAGCCTGGCAGGGCCATGAGAATGCTGTTTTACTACAAAAGAAGGCGAGAGTGGGGCATAGAATTCCTAGCCTTGTAGCAGTTGCTCCAGCAAAAAGTGCCTTCTACTAAGGATCCAACAGAGGGGATGAAAAAGCAAATACTCTGGGCTGTCCAGTAGATTCATACTTACTGGAACCCACGTGCCACAGAGAAGAAATGCTCCTTAAGATTTTCTTGGCTATAATTTTGATGGAAGCAAATTGCTAGCCTTTTGGATTTTTTAAACCCCCCCCCACCTTTCATGGTTCCTATGGGCAGGTTCTAAAGGTCAGCCTTTTGATTACGAGTCACGGGTAAACTCATTGTGTCCAGCAAAGCTGGATGAGGAAAAGCAAGCACCGAAACACCCACTGCCATAGAGTCAAATCCTATAAGGACCCGTGAGAGCGAGACTGGACTCTGCAGGTGTCAAAGGGTTCCTCTTTCTCCTGCTGGTGGTTTGGAGGGTGGGGCCCAACACATAACCACTGTGCCGCCAGGGCTCCTAAATGAGGACGGCGCCACCAAATTTAATGTCCTCCGAGGACATATCAAGTGATTCGATGTCTGGAGCTTTACTGTTTATTTGGTTTGGGTTTTTTTTTTAAAAAAACAAATGAGCTCAGTAAGATCCTGGTTAATAGATGGGAAATCCAACTAGGTGGATGGGTTTTAGCTCTTTGTTTTATTCTTTCTGTGTAATCAAAGGAGCCCCGGTGAGGTGGTGGTCATACCAGGGGGTTGCAGCCAGTCAGCCAGGACGAATGGCAGGAGTTGCTGTTTTTGTATGTGATCAAACCCCAGTTGCTGTAGAGTCCATTGTAAATCGTGGCCATCCAGGTTTCAGAGTAGGCCTGTGCTCCTTAGTGTTTTCATTGGCTGAATTCTAAGCGGTAGCTTGCCCATACGGACTGCTAAGCTGCCTTCAGGGTGGACTTGAACTTTAGCTTGGCAGCCAAACATGTTAACCATTTACACCACATGATTATTCAGCATATAAATATTATCAAAGAGTCTTTAAAGTGAAGTTAAAATTAAATTAAAAAGTGGTCTAATTTTGTGATCTCTCAACAAAGTGCTTCCTCTTGGTTGTTTACAAAGGTTAAAATTATATATTGAATTACTTGGATGTAATCTAATTGCCTGTCACATTGTCACGTGATATATTATGTTGTAATATGGATATGTTTTTACTTGTGATTTTAGCAATAAGATCAGAAGTATTTAACATAATTATGATGTTTAAAAAGTTGGGTGTAACGATATCAAAGTATTTCCTTTTTCCACAGAAATGTATGATTTGCTGAGCATTCTCGTTTCCGTGGCCACTCAGTGGGGGTGGGGGGTGGGGTGGAGTGTTTTGTTTTCTCACATGTGAATTGAGTGTAGGTGAAATAGGTCTCAAAGAAAAGTGTTTCCAACATTACGTCATTTATTATGATAATGATGTTGGGATTTTATTTAACAGCAGGCAGAGGAAAAAAATTAGAAAAAAAGTTATGAAAGATTTCTATAACAAGGTATTTTTAAAATACAGACAACTTTAAAAAACTGATTTGGCTCAGATATTGAATTAGTTCATAAGATAGTCTGTTATTTCTTCAATGAACTGTTATTCATTGGGTAAATATGTTAAGATGTGTTTATCATTATCATTATGTGTCTTTTTATAGACAGTCCCCACTCACCAGAGAAAAATGGGTCAACTCCCTTCTGGAGTTAGAGCATCGCTCCTCCCCACAGAATACCTGGTTGAAATTAACAAAGTTTTACACTCCATGGACGATGTTGAATTATCACTTAATACTCCAGAGCTGAGTACTGCGATCTACGAAGACTTCTCTTTTCAGGAAGATTCTCTGAAGGTTTGTCTCCCGGCACTCTATTGGTATAGCTGCAGTTCATGATGGAATAAAACAAAGAGCTTGTTATTGTACCCATTTACATGATAGTGTAATCTGTTAAATTTCTATTACATTTATGTCAAGGAATTAGTGATATTTATGAGTGGTGAGCCTTGCCTGTGTTCACCAGTGAAATAGGTTGACAGTTTACATTTCTTCGAAAGCTTTCAATTGTGAGTTGGGTGGCATTCCCACAAGCACAGCATCCTTTGTGCTTTCAGCAGTTAACGCACATTTTATGTCGCCTCTCATTTATTGCCATCTCCTCAGTGGACAATCACTTATCCCACTTCCTCCCAGTGTTTTCCTGGTTCCAGTCCTCCTTTCCCCTCCACAACTTTCTTGAACTTTGACCTTCAGTAACTGCTGCCCTTTTTATCCGAAGTGATTGGTTATTCTAAGGTGACTGTATTAGTCCGGGTTGACTAGAGAAATAAATCCAGAGACACTCATATGTGCGTAAGAGAGAACTTTATTTCAAAGAACAATTGTACATTAAGAAAGTATCCCAATCCAGTCCAGATCAAGTCCGTAAGTCTGATATTAACCCATATGTCAATATTAGTCCATAAATTCCTCTTTAGACTCACGCAGCCATTCAATGACGCCTAATGCAGGAAGATCTCAGGCCAGTGGGCGAAAAGTCTTGTGGATCTAATAGTGGTGGAAGCATCTCAGTGCTGGTGTGGGTCTCCACGTGGCTCCTCCAGCTCCAGGGCTCTGGCTCCGTTAGCGTAGCTTCATGTGGCTTGTCAACAGGAATGTCTTGCAGGGAGACATGCACAGAGAGTATCTGGCCTCCAGTGAGCTATTTATCTCCTTGGAGCCTCCAAAATGAGGTCATAAAATTGTGACCTGATTGACAGGCTAGACTCCACCCCTTCGCAAGTTGACAGGAGATTATGTAACTGCCACCGTGACCCTTCCTCACCAGTTTTAATTTCTAAAATAGATGTTGATTCTTTTTTTTTTTAGATGTGGATTCTTAGTGTATACAGTTATTAATTTGTTGTAAGGTTGGGTAATTAAAAAAAACACATATGCACGAACCTTTTCTTAAGAACTTGTTAGCTCATATTTAATGCCAGCTCTTATGATGCCATCTATAAGTGATTTAAGATTGGCCAGTCGATGGAGTGTGAGTTCGCATATTTTTGTAGGTTAACTTAGTGATCTGGAAGTTTTTAATTAATTTATAGCACTAGTAAGTTTTTTTTAATGCTTACCATAAATTTTAATTACATTTATGTGTAAAATCATAACAAAATCATTGCTAGATTTATAAAGTTTAATAGCTTATTTTTGTCATTTAAACTGTTTTTAGCATATGCAAATATGAATAATGCCAACTTTAAATACTCATTACGTTTATAGAATATGACTGAAACTTTTTATCTGATTTGTGTAGATGCCACCTTAAACATCTCTGAAGAATTTTCTTTTCCCATCATTAGTATATTCTTTGCCACCTGATTAACATAGGGTGTCATTAAAAAATATATTTTCAGTTTTGATTATCAACAATGATTACATCTCATTATTATTTTAAGTTAGTCATATGCAATGTGAAGTTTTTCTCATCTGCCACTTTATCATCATTCTCTTTATCAATGACTGGATTTTGTTAATATTTGACAATATATTTGCAGCGTATCAAAGACCAACTGGACAAGCATGGAGAGCAAATTGCAGTCATTCATGAGAAGCAACCAGACGTTATCCTTGAAGCTTCTGGACCTGAAGCTATTCAGATTGGGGATACACTTACTCAGTTGAATGTAAAATGGGACAGAGTTAATAGATTGTACAGTGATCGGAAAGGGTATGTGCACATTAAATTAATATTTAATTTTTTTTTGTTAAAAAAAGGCTTATGTTCATGGGCCTGGAGAAGGTCATATGTAGATTAATGAGGTTAGAGTTCATAGCCTTATAACATGCCCTATTTAATCAATGGTACTCTGGAGTCCATAGTTACTCATTGGGCTGCCAACCACAAGGTCAGCAGTTTGAAACCACCACCTGCTCTGCAGAAGAAAGATGAGGCTTTGTACTCCTGTGAAGATTTACAGTCTTGGAAACCCACACCCACAAGAGTGGTTCAACCTTGTCCTACATGGTTACTATAAGTCATAATTAACTAGAAATCAGAGAGGGTTTTTTTGTTTTTTGTTTTTAATCAATTGTGCAATGATCACTGGGTATAACAGTTAAGTGTTTGCCTGCTCACCCAGTGATTGGTAATTTGAAGTCGATGAGCCTCTTTACAGGAGAAAGGCATGTTGATGTGATCTCATGAAGATTACAGACTAGAAAACCCTCTGGGACAATATACAATCCCAAACCTATATTTATAAACTTTTGATTAATAAGATGTTATTGCGCCTCTTTACTAGATTTTGACCATGTCTATTAATAGGAAGAAATAAAAACTGATACACACACACACCCCCATATATATATATATTTTGGCCTGGAGCTATATATGTTGTGAAAAACTAAATAAAATATGACATAGCTTAATATAACAGAGTATATGAGAGAAAGGTAAGAGAATAACAACAGAAATTATTAGAGATATGCACAAACAGAAAGTAGCATTATGTTTCCAATAGTGTTTTTTGAAGCCTACACTTTTCATATGATTAAATAACTTTTAATGGCATTATGATATATTCCTTTGTAGAGCTATGTCTCTCCCCCCACCCCATAAAGCGATCTTTTTGTACAATTAGAGACTATTTTATCATATACATCTTTATCCATACTTCCAAAAATCTCACTGGGCTTGGTTATTAGATGACTAATTTGTTAAAGAATAATAACTGAACTATCCTTGCCCTCCAAAGTAAGATTGATCATGATGAAAACGAAGCAGATCTTGTTTCCAGAACTTTATGCATACTTTGCTAAGTCCGTGGCATTACCTTTGACATTTTCCCAAAGAACTGACTTTTGAGAACTCTCTGAGACAAATTGTCAGCCAAACCAAGCTCACGGCTGTGAAGTCAAGCCTAACTCGGAGTGATCTGTACAGGGAGGCTGTGAATCGTTATAGGAGCAGGTAGCTTCTTCTTTCTCCCAAGGAGGAGCTGATAGGTTTGAACCACTGACCTTGCTCTTGGTGGCCCATCACTTACTGACAGCGTCACCAGGGCTCTTTCATACTCGATACTCCTCCTTTTCTTTATTCTGTTTTTTTTCTCTTTATTCTGTTTTATTTGAGATTCTTGAATTCTCTGACTGTCTTCTCTGCTACCAAGGTCCCAGGTGATGATTCTCCGTATGTCCTTGGTTGGCTGACTGACTGTGGCTATCATTCAGGCTTCTCATTTTCAGCCTAGCGCCTACTCCACAGGATTTGCCGCAAGATTTTATTTCCAATTCCTTTTACTTATCAATTTTCTATACTCAACACAAACTTGATTTGAATTTTCATTGTTTTTGTTTCTAAATTAGAATTCTATTTTCAATCAGAAATAATTGTCCTCTCAATTCTATCAACTCACTCTTTTTCCATGGTTAAATTAGTTTTTGAAATTTCATCATTTTATAATAAACTTGGCCCACCCACCTACCTATCTAGCCATCTCTCCTGTACCATCCATTTAAAAAATATTTATATTGTCAATGTGACATACAAATTATGAGGCAAATGGGCTACATAGATTTATTCTTTTTCCTG